AAAAAAGGGGAGTTTAGAAATGAATGTGATATTGAAAAGTTTGTTGAGAAAATGTCTCAATGGGAATTATGGCCATCTCATAGTTTCATTAGCAAGATTGCATCTTATGCATTAGCAATAATGGTTTAACTAGTAAACCCTTTTCCAATTTTTCTTGGTTTGCTTGTTACAAGAACTTGGCGTTTCTGGAATATGCACTAACCTGGTGTGCAAAAATAGTGAGTTTATTTACCTTTGTTCAAGGTTTAATTCCAAATTGTAATCCTGGGGTTCTAAACTAGATTAGTTTAGGAGTGAAATTACCTTTGCTTAGAATGTTGTGAGATCTGGGTGCAGACAGTCTCAAAAGAAGGTTCCAAAGTCTGTATAACTATGGAGTTTGAAGCAGTTTGTTTCAGGGATGACTTAGTGAATTGTTTTCCTAACTGAAAATCTGTTTACCTAATTAATTTTCAAATAAGGACAAGTCAGTTTAGACCCAAGTTCTTTTAAACTTGGCTGACATGAAGACACTCTTGTGACTGTGCAAGAAAACAGTGTGGATTTTATGGTTCTCTTGTTCTGTGCAGGTTTTGAACTGGTGTATTTCATATTGGATTATATTAGGGTTTAACGCTCAAACAGTTCTTTCTGTGCAGTATCTGATATTGGCTCCATCACCATAGTGTCTAAGCACAGTTAAATCAACGTAATCGTGTTAAAAATTTTAACCATGTAGAAAACACTTTAATTATCATAATATTAATCCTAAGGCTTGTCTATATGTAAAGTCGCACCAGTTTAGCTTAAGGTGTGTTTAAAAAAAACTGATTTAGGTGAACTCGTGCAAAAGGCTGTGTGGACATTATTTCATTTTACACCCATCTTATTTCAGTTTAGTTTAAGTCAATTAGGCCATGTCTCAGCTACTGGTGCTATAGCTCTCCCACTGTAGCACCATAGTGGACCCCTGCTACAGCAATGGAAAGGTTTTTTCTGTTGTTGTAGGTAATCCACTGCCCCCAGTGGTGGTAGGTAGGTCCAAAGAAGCAGTCTGCTGTCGAACTAGCCGTGCGTCCACACAAGGGCTTGGGTTGGCATAGCTATGTCATTATCCCCCGAGGGAGCGACATAACTATCTATGCCTATCAGAATTTTAAGTGTAGACTAGGCCTCAGAAACATGTTTAAGCTAAATTATATAAGTCACTCTTAAAATGTGTGTCTACACAGAGGTTTCCATTAGTTTATCTAAAGCCGTGTAAATTAGTGTGTGTAGATAAGCCCCTAATGTGGCTAATCTAATGATTCTGATTGAAGCATGTTTGTGTTGTGAGGTGTCACTATAATTACATTATTAATTTTCATTAAATTACTTGTTCTCTGTTATTTTTTTTCACTTTGACCTCTGACTAGCTGATGAGTATATTTTAAACAAATAAGTTGTTAATAGTTTCATCATAAACTAGCACTTGGCCTTGTTATATATCAAATTAGGATGATGGTGACTGCTTTTTCACTGCAGTTTGCTAATTGTTTAAGAAAAACTAAACTTTTGCAGCGACATCTTTGTAGTTGTGTAGAGAGTAGAATACCTTTAAATATTCCATTGAAATTTTTATTTAATCCTTCTAATCAGACTTTCAGATCAGTATAAATGCCAAGGTAAATCTTAGAAGAAGTAGCATAAAACAGTTGGCGACATTCTGCATTTATGCATCTCCTGATCAAACTACCTTTTTTTTTTTTTTAAATTCAAGCTGACATAAATTGTGTACTGGTGCTTCTGAGAGCTCAGTTGTTATCTTTGACTAATACAGCTCCATAATTCAAGCTTTCCTTTAAATAAACCCTTTTAATGATTTACGTGACTTCTGTTTAAACCTACCTTGGGGATTGAATCCCTTCTGTAATGTGAAACATTAGGTGCTTGTAAAACAGGAATTTCACTACTTACTCCAGTTTTAATCCTTCAGTAGAGTTCATATTCATTTTTTTAATATGAAAAGTTTAAGCCCTGGCAAGGTTTTAGGGTTTTTTTATATGGGTCCATCAATAATAATTTTCACTTGTTCCATTTTTTTAAAATCCAGTCAGTTTGTCTGATGGAGTGTTGCTGGAGAGGGGCCTTTAAAGCACAGTTGTAGTCAGGAAAGTGTAGTAAGGACAACTTCTTGCTCAACACACAAGAACGGCCATATTGGTTTGGACCAATGGTCCATCTGGCCCACTAGCCTGTCTTCCGACAGTGGCTCAAATGCCAGGTGCTTCAGGGGGAATAAACAACAGGTAATAAACAAGTGATCCATCCCGTCCGTCCGTCCACTCCCAGCTTCTGACAAACAGAGGTTAGGGCACACTCAGAACATACTGTTGCATCCCTACCATCCTGGCTAATAGCTATTGATGGATCTATGTTCCATTAATTTATCTAGTTCTTTTTTGAACCCTAATATTATTTTGGCCTTCACAGTATCCTCTGGCAATGAGTTCCACAGGTTGACTGCACTGTGTGAAGAAGTACTTCCTTTTGTTTGTTTTAAACCTGTTGCTTATTGATTTCATTGGATGATCCCTGGTTCTTGTGTTACATGAAGGAGTAAATAACATTTCCTTATTCATTTTCTCCACACCAGTCAAGTTTTTATAGACCTCTATATTCCCTCTTAGTCATCTCTTTTTCAAGCTGAAAAGTCCCAGTCTTTTTAATCTCTCTTTATACGGAAGCTGTTCCAAACCCCTAATCATTTTTGTTGCCCTTCTCTGTACTTTTTCCATTTCTAATATATATTTTTTTGAGACGGGCAATCAGGTTTGCACACAGTATTCAAGATATGGGGCTTACCATGGACGTATATAGAGCAGGGGTCGGCAACCTTTCAGAATTGGTGTGCCGAGTCTTCATTTATTCACTCTAATTTAGGGTTTCGCGTGCCAGTAATACATTTTAATGTTTTTAGAAGGTCTCTTTCTATAAGTCTATAATATATAACTAAACTTTTGTTGTATGTAAAGTAAATAAGGTTTTTAAAATGTTTAAGAAGCTTCATTTAAAATTAAATTAAAATGCAGAGCCCCCGGACCGGTGGCCAGGACCCGGGCAGTGTGAGTGCCACTGAAAATCAGCTCGCGTGCTGCCTTTGGCACGCATGCCATAGGTTGCCTACCCCTGATATACAGGCATTATGATATTTACTGTCTTATTAACTATCCCTTTCCTAGTGGTTCCTAACATTGTTAGCTTTTTTTGGCTGCTGCTGCACTCCGTATATATCTGAGTGACATACATTTGTTTTTGTTACTGTTACCACTGCTATTCAGAACCAGTATCATCTATTGGTAAACAAACTATATTGCACATTGGTTTATTCACCAGCAACAGTCCTACAACCTAGGTGTCATCTTCATCTCCATCATCTCTAAACCTGCACGTGTAGGCAGTGTTCAAATCCTGCCTTATCTCCCTCTATAAAATCTCTAAAATCCTACCCTTTTCTTTCTGCCCATGCTGCTAAAACTTTCATCCAAGCCCTATTCATCTACTGCCTTGGCTGTAGAAACCATCTTCTCTGTGGCTTTCCTTATACCCAGTTTGCTCCCCTCAGCTCCATTTAAAATGTAGCTACTAATCTTCCTGGGTCATCATTCTGTTCATCTGGCTCCCTTCTCTGAAATCACCCACTGATTTCCCTCTTCGCTGCCCATCAAATATTGACTTCAGATTGTTAGTCTTACCCTTCACAATTTAACACCTCCTAATTTATCCTCTCTTGATTTGTATGGTGTCCAGTTGACTGTCAGTGTCCGCTTGGGTTATCCATTTGTCCACTTCTCCCATGAAGACTTTTGGGCTTTTTTTTAATATGCTGCCACTCATGCATGGAATACATTTTGAATTAGTTCATAAAGACGCTACTCTGTCCTCATTCAAATATGTCCTCAGGACTTCTCTTTAGCACAGTGTCTGGGGAAGCTGCTAGCGAGGTTGTTGATAAGCTAGGTAGATGGCCAGAAGGTGCCCCTGAGATGTTTCTTTTCTTTTCTTTCTTTTTTTTTTAATATAACTATCAGCCATTTAGCCGTGCCTGTGTCTGGGCTATATAATAACTATTTCCCTCATCTACCTTCCCCATTCTTTCTGGGTTGCCTCTCTTGTCATTTAGATTGGAAGTTTTTTGGTGTTAGGACCATTTTTTTACTCTTTGTACTGTGGTTAGCACAAGGTGTGAAACTCATTTGGAGATGAGGAGGGCAAATCCCCTTATACAGCTAAGATCAATGGGCAGAGAGAAATGCCGGGCTATATATTCCTAATAATTCACAGCACAATGCGCACCCTTGTCAATGGGAGGCTTGCACAGAGTTCAAAGGGAGCATGTGGCCTTCATGTAGTAATTAAACAAATGATTATTTTTATTAGCTGTTTAGTGCCTTGTTGTTACATTCATCACACATTGGTGCTCCCTTTTAGGCCCGCTGCTATTCCTGAGCTTTGTTTGTTTCCTTCCTTATCCTCCATCCTCTCTTTCTCTCCCTCTTCCTTGTTTTTGTGAGGCTTCTCTGTTCTTTCCTCTGCCTTTCCTTGCCTATAGCAACCTCCAGTTGCCTCCACCATGGCTTTCAATCCCAGCTCCTTCCCCAATCCATCTATTAAAATGATCAGCAATTAATAGTTAATGTTGACACTCCAGATTAATATTGAACAGAGGACTTTCCCCTACATTGTTGTTTCAAACTGTGGATTCAGGCAGATATCACTTTATCAGTTACACTCTGTTTATGTTTAGAAAGTTATCTCTGCAGCCATGAAGTCTAGAAATTTCCTTTGTTTTTTAAATGAAAGCTGAGTTTCTGCACAGTCTGGATATATCCTGCAGGCTTCATAAATACACCTTGCTGGCCAGGTGTTTATTTGACACCCTGGTCTACTACAGTTGGGCTCCCGATCCTGATCAGGGATTCTAGGTGCTACTATAATTCAAAAAATAAGTTACAAAGGGAATTTTTGACTCTGTTTCTATAATCTAGCCTCATTAAAGAGCAATGATCAACCAGTTGTACACTGTATTAATACTACATTATTATTTATTGGTTTTAACATCGCAGAGTAGATTTTGGCTTCGTAGGACAAACATTTGGATTTTTACAGTGGACAAAAATAAGGATTACCATTTGTAGGGGGACACCTCAAAATGGCCTTGCTTGAATGGCTCTGAAAGTATAAACCTGAATCTGTCAAAATTGGGCTGCTGGTGGGCATCCTTCAAAACTCATATATGCTTAAACAGTATTCACCTCAGTGGATCTGGCAGCTGAGGTTCAGAGTAATCTTCACTGTCAAGTAAAATCGTCCTTTCTACTGCAGGTATTTCCCATTCCATTGATTCTCAGCTGCCCTTATTTATCAAAGAAGAGGACATCTTTCATTTCCTGCTCAAAATTGTCTGAGTTAGAGATGCTGACAATACACATTCCTATTCCAACTGTTTATTAACCTTTAGGAATGTAAAGTTAAGAAATTCAGTTTCTGGAATGAAAACCTATATTGTAAAGTTTTGTGGATCATTTTTTCCCTTCTTTTTTTATAATCTCTCTTTTTGTACTACTTTGGACTCTATCAGGCATTACATGAAAAACAGTGAACTTTTTCTAAATCAACCATAGAAATTAGAGAAGGGATAGTAACCTATTAATCTGTTACCACTATCTTGGGGGACTGTACTGTAGTCTAATAGACCTCACTTTTGGGAAAGGGGTGGGGGGGGAATCCTAAATGATGATTGGCAAATTTTAACCCATTGTGTATTTCTGACAGGGTAGATTGATATCAATCACTGCTTCTAATCATGATTTAAATCAGCAAGCAGGAAATTTTGATTTAAATAATCAATTTTAATCTTGATTTGCATTTGTACTTTTTATGATTTTCCTAAAGAAAGGTTGATTCTCATTGATTGGTAAGCATTAAAACATGTTGGTTTGCAACTAAATATAACCTTCACACTAAATTTAGTCCTCTCTCTTTTGCTATCCAGGAGGATACAGTATATCTCTGCATGCTTATTTAACCAATTACATAGCTTAGCATACATTTATTCAGATTTGTAATTTTTATATTTTTATTACATTAGAAAATAGCGAAAGTTAGATTTCTTCTTTACTAGATGATTAATTTTGTACTTGTGATTTGTGTCAATCTGCATTTGGATGGAAATTGGAATTCAGTTAAAAATGCACAAAACCAGCATTTTGATTTTGTTTTTATTAAATAAAACTACTGTAAATACGATGAATACATACAAAACATTTTGATAAACTTTTTTATTTAAAACAAACTGATTTGTTAAACTAAATTATCTGTAGTTAGTGAATTAAAATGATTATTTCTGGTCATCACATCCTTCAAGATTTTAGAACTAGTAGATCTCACCCTCTTGCATCTCATTTGTATTCACAAGCGCTCTTGCTTTTCAACTCCCAGTTATGTTCTTAACATTGAATAAATTAGCCATTGAACTGAGCTTTTAGTTTAATAAGCTGATATGATGAAAATACTCTCTCTGCACTTGCATAAGAGGCTAGTTCTGTCAAAAGTTGGTTTAACACTTCAACAGACTGGTTCCAGGTGCTTAGCCAATGACTTCAACCAGTTCAGTGGTTTGTCTTTCTTTAATACGTCAGCAGCAAACATACTTCTTGAATATTAGTTTTTTTATTTAATCTAAATTATTTTAATAGATTATGGTAAAATTAGGCCTTAATATCAGCTATCGTAATTTCAAATTTAATTTTAAATAGGTTTAGTTTTAAAGAGAAAAATGTATTTAAATAAAATAATCCAATTATATTTTTTTTTAAAAGCATGGTCTTCTATCCACCCTACTTTGTAATTCAAAGTAACAAATCTTATCAAGCACTGAGTTGTGGAGCAGGACTGCATGAAGTAAGTTTACTCCAGCGTAAAGTAAGGAGTGTGTGTTAAATAGTGTTTGGCAGTGTATGCAGAAAAAGCTCAGAAGTGAGTCTGGATGACAGATCTCACTTAACACTGGGTTAAAGTAATCTCTAAAACATTGCAAGGGAAACATGCATTGCATCCTTCCTACTTTGATCTGTGGACCAGGAGCTGTAATTTCTCATGCTTTTTTTTCAACACTCTTGAGCAAAAATATTGATTCCAAATGTTAAAGTTTCTGGTTTTTGTTGGGGGATAGGAGAGTTTTTTGCTCATTACTAAAGAGTGTTACTTGTTTTATGCTTGCTTGCAGGAAAGGTTAAAGCTGGTGACAGTTCTGGGTGCTGGGCTCCTCTGCGGAACTGCCTTGGCGGTAATTGTGCCTGAAGGAGTACATGCACTTTATGAAGACATTTTGGAGGGTGAGTTAAAAAAAAAAAAAGCCTGATATATGTCCTTGTGAAAGACAGTTGATAAACCAGAAAGGCACAAGTAGAATATCTTACTCTGAGAATAATTAAAGTTAATCTCTTGCTGAAACCTCAAACAATGGGAATTGCCTTTGAAAGAGATTTAATTTGTGTTTATAAGCTGCTGCTTTCTGTGGTTTAGTTCCCTTTTGGTTATTGCATTCACTATCAGTGGTGTTTTATAGAGCTCCGTATATTTTATCTTGCGAAAGAATCTCACTCCCTTGTAGCCGAAGAACTTTCTAAGCTCAGTTGGGGTCAAACAATTTTGCTAATTAGTTTAACAGGCCAAAATTGCCTGTTAAACTAATTAGCAAAATTGTTTGACGCCAACTGATTTTTTTGTTAAGTGAAAGAACATGTCTTAGAGAGACATAGGTATAGGGTATACCTGAAGCCCAAAAGTCTTGGATAACTGTACCAGTTATACCATCCCTCAGTTATAGCAGGTAATGCCCATCATCTCTCATTCGAGTGCATTCTAATCCTCATTGGAGCTTCAGGTGCTTTTCCAATGGTATGACACAGGTTTTGAGTAGATTTAAGATCAGTAATTCAGTCAAAGGTGGGTGGCAGCAACGCACTGGGTCCTAATACAAAGAAATGTCAAGATGTGGGAGAGGGGACTCTAGAGGACTTTTCAAACGTGTTTGAAGTACTAGTACTGCTACTGCTTATCAGTGGGTGGGAACCACTGCTATATGCCACTATAGTAAGTTTGGGTTTTTTTCTTTATATATCTGTGCTTTCCTTTTACATGCTTTGGAGGAGAATATGTTTTTCATTTTTACCTTTTGCACTTATTTAACTTACTTTATAGTCTGTCTCTGTGTATTTTAGGCTTGTCTAGTGCCTTTCATGTAACTTAAAATTATTCATATTTAATAAACATAGTTTTATGTTATTGCAAGGTTCTATTTATTCATGTGTTCATACACTTTCCAATCTGTATGTTTATTGTAGCATCTCACTATACTGCACTTCAGTTGAGGGTTTGTGATCCATTCCATTTTAATCTTTGTTATGATTAGCATAGCAGCAGACAATGTTATTGGGAGCACTTCTACTTTTCTCATTAAATTTTTGATCGGTTTATTGCCCAGGCTTGACACCTTCAGTGAGATGATCTGACCCATTAAACTATCATGTAAATAAGAGGCATTTGAAAAATTCTGTCTTCCTATTTACACAGCAGTTCATGCATATTCATCCATCCATATTGAAGTAAAATACATAACTGGGAAACTTACAGTATACATTAATGGTATCTTAAACTAAATTTCTAACACGAAATACCCTGAACAAAGCCAATCTAGCTGTAAAGAAATTATTTAAGTAACATTGAGAGTTATTTTTTTCAGATAGTGATTTCAGCCCAGAATTTAGGTCTCTTCAGTATAACTCAAACTTTGATCCTTTGTAGGACAAGTCGAAGAGAACTAGAACTAATAAATCAAGGAAAAATGAGTTAATCCTAATATTACTGCATAAAATGTGTGTATCATATGTGAAGATAAAGTTGTAGAGAGCTGCACCCACTTATATAGACTCAGCCATGAAGGTTGTTATAAAAGATAAAGGGTCCACTTACAAAATAAGACATTCAGAATTAAGCATAAGAATCTGATCTGACTTGTTTTCCTTCACTCATTGATGTCTAGCAGGCCTAAAATTTAATTGTTTTGCTTTTGTCCTCTATCTAAAACTTATTGAAGTGCTAGATTAAGAAATGGACTGTCTTCTCTTCTCTTCTCTTATTCCAATTGTCTGTTCATACCTAAGACTATTTTTAAAGAGACACAGTCACGTTATATTTGGCCCTAATGAAGCTTTTGTAAAAGCCTGAGAGGCTTACAGAACCAAAGCAAATAACATGTTTTCCATTACATCTTTTAAAATTCCAGTGGAAAGTTTGCTTAATCAATACTCTTTCCTCTGCAGTGTTGCAACACAAACTTTGCTACCTTGTGCTAGTGTTTAAGTACCAGAAAGTTAAACTTAGTCTGTTTTCCCCTTAAAGCTGGTTTAAATTTTGTTTTTGGGTTATTGTTTGAAGGCCTTCTGGAAACAGTGCTTTTAAGGAAGATTGAAAGAAGAAAGGGTGTTTTAGTGGCATGCAAAATCAGGGAGACAGTTCCAAGCTTAGGGGACAGCATAAGAGAAGGCACAAAGACAAAAGTGAGAGACTCATACAAGAGTAGTGCCTGAGCAGTGCAAAAGGACCAGACGGAGATGTAGGAAGAGTGTAAAAAACAGCCATAAACTGGACAGTGTCCCTTTAATTGCAAATTCAATGATCTGTGCACAGAGTATAACTGAACATTTGCACAGTGTTCCACTCCCTCCTCCTGAAGTGATCTGTTGAAAGGTCCATTTAATTCATAAAAAGAGTAGCAGTGAGACATCATTATATTTTGCTAGGGTTGTCCCAGATGTCTCTAACAGTGGCTGCTGTCCTCAAGAGGCCATTAGTATTTAATTAAGCCAGAAGTCCTCATAATAGAAAACAATATTCAGTATTACTCAAGTGTTTGAACCAAAAAAAAAAAAACCACCCCAGACTTACCCAGCAATTTCATCATCCACAGCTAACTGTTTCTTCAGGAGTCTGTAGAATGTCTTGTGTGCCACAGACACCTCTTTGTTCAAAGTTACCATGCCTACATTTTGTAGGGCATTGAAGCATTGCAAAATGCTTCATTTAAATTCATTTTAAAATAAATTCCCCCTAAGAGTTTTCATGAAAATATGGAGTCACCCCTCTGAATATACATTAATTATGTCTTCTGGGGGGAAAAAAACCTTACAAAATATAATAATGTTAAAAGAGACAAAGGTTGGGTCCAGCTCAATATCATACTTAGCACTTCTGTTGCACCTTTTCCTATGAGGATCTTGAAGTGCTTTACAAATACTAAGTAAACCTAGCAAACACACTCATAAGTAGTAACCCTCTTTTGTGATGGAGGCAGCAAGTTCTATCTAGAGGCTAGAATGGGGACTGGGAGTCAGGAATATATCTCAGGGCTTCTGACTCAGTCACTGATTTGGCAAGATAGCTGCACCTGTTTTGCTATCTCTAAAGTACTTTTTAGAGATTCAGTGTGTACAGTATTTTTATAGATGAGTTAGCTGAGGCACAAAGAGGTTAAATGACATGCCTGAGGTCACGTTGTAGTCAGGAACAAAACCCAGAACTTCTGACTCCCTCCCTCTCCCTCCCCCCCGGAACTTTGCTCAAACTAGTCACCATGCTTCCGTTATTGTTTTTTTCCCCACCTAAACAACGAAAGGGCAGCTGCGATGACTGGGGTCATATTATCGAGAAACTGAAACAGCTTAATTTTTCTGAATATACTTGGGGCTTTTAAGTATGATTAAATGCATGTTTTAGTAAAGTCTGACTTCCATACTTGGGACTATACTATAACTTGAAATGTTGTGATGGGATCTCCGGGGTGCAACCTGGATTGAGGGACCACTCAGCCCTTCAAACCCACCAACCTGGGCAGCTTCTCACACTGATGCTGAAGTCATGCTCTGGTAAGCACTGCACTTACACAGACATCCACAGATGGGGACACACTCAACTGTGTTACATGAATGATCTCCCAGCCACTCATGAACCATCAATAGGGAGGGTCCAGCCAATTCCCCTCAGCTCCCCAGCTTTGCACCCCAGAACTAAATTGTCTTGCACTGGTGAGAAGCCTGGCCAGTGTAAGTTCGTTAAATAGTTTGCCACTCCCTCAATGTGGAATGGATACACACTAGCCTTTTGTAAACTGAGCTGAGATTTCCCAAGCACTTCAACCCAAACACACTTTTTTAGGTAAAATATAAAACAGGTTTACTAACTACAGAAAGATAGATTTTAAGTAGGGCTGTCAAGTGATTAAAAAAATTTATCGCGCAATTAAGAAAATACAATTTAAATATTTTTGGATGTTTTCTACATTTTCAAATATACTGATTTCAGTTACAACAGTAGTAGTGTTGGTCCCCAAAGTGGGATAAACTAGGACATTAAAAACAAAACAAAAAAATCTAAATCTATTTTTCTTTCCTGCTTTATATTGTTAAGACCAGGTATGAAGAAAGCTTTCCGTGAAGGATTAGAAAATATTAGAACATCACCTTTGGGATCTTCCTAATCAACCTGTTTATCTGCTTTAGGGAAGCACCATCAGGCCAGTGATACTCAAAATGTGATTGAATCTGAGAAAGCAGCAGAAATAACAGCTGAGCATGAGCATGGCCATGACCATTCAAAATTACACGCGTACATTGGTGTTTCCCTTGTCCTTGGTTTTGTCTTCATGCTTTTGGTGGACCAGATAGGCAGCTCCCACGTGCACTCTACAGATGGTAAGTAAAGCCTCTCCTGCCAGATTGGCACTTGCCTTGGAGCTAGTGCAGCAACCAGAATGAATTAACAAGGTGTATTTTCAGAATATGATTATTTATTATGTATTTTTAATACAGTAGTGCCCAGTCAGGATGAGGGCTCTATTTAGCTTGGTATTCTACAAACATAAAGGTAAGCATGGTCTGTTATGTGAAATAATAAAGCAGTGTTACTGTCAGTGCTGGAAGGCAGCATAATGTGAATATTTGATTAATAATGCTCAAGCGTGTGGACTGTGCCATGCTGACAGAGAAAGTCTGCTTAGAAATAATAGATGACCAACAGCATTGTGTGTGTAAAGGCTTTAAGCAGTGTAGGTTTTAATATATGACAAATAGAGTAGTCCACTGACATAGCAAAAATCCAAAACTGAAGAACCAGAGTCTTAACTTCATTAGTTACTTTATTGTCTTGCTTAGAATTAAACATTTCAAAGAACAAAATTTTGGCTTAGTTCAGGCTGTAAATTTTCATGGAAGAAAGGCCCCAGTCCTGCATTGTGATCTGCACAGATTGACTGTTGCAACCACATAGAGCCCTGTAGACTTCAGTGGACTTCACATGGACCACCAAGCATGATAAGGGCTATGGTGACTTTCACTGGTAATCTTCCTCAGTAGTTTCCCGGTAAGTGCATGCTAGGTTTCTGTGTACAGCAGAACAAAATGTAGGTAATCTTTCCTGAAAACTAAGCCAATAAATATTTGTACTTTTAATGTGAAATTTTATTCATAGAATCATAGAATATCAGGGTTGGAAGGGATCTCAGGAGGTCATCTAGTCCAACCCCTTGCTCAAAGCAGGACCTAATCCCAACTAAATCATCCCAGCCAGGGCTTTGTCAAGCCTGACCTTAAAAACCTCTAAGGAAGGAGATTCCACCACCTCCCTAGGTAACCCATTCCAGTGCTTCACCACCCTCCTCGTGAAAAAGTTTTTCCTAAGATCCAATCTAAACCTCCCCCACTGCAACTTGAGACCATTACTCCTTGTTCTGTCATCTGGTACTACTGAGAACAGTCAGATCAATCCTCTTTGGAACCCCCTTTCAGGTAGTTGAAAGCAGCTATCAAATTCCCCCTCATTCTTCTCTTCTGCAGACTAAACAATCCCAGTTCCCTCAGCCTCTCCTCATAAGTCATGTGCTCCAGACCCCTAATCATTTTTGTTGCCCTCCGCTGGACTCTTTCCAATTTTTCCACATCCTTCTTGTAGTGTGGGGCCCAAAACTGGACACAGTACTCCAGGTGAGGCCTCACCAATGTCGAATAGAGGGGAATGATCACGTCCCTCGATCTGCTGGCAATGCCCCTACTTATACAGCCCAAAATGCCGTTAGCCTTCTTGGCAACAAGGGCACACTGTTGACTCCTATCCAGCTTCTCGTCCACCGTAACCCCTAGGTCCTTTTCTGCAGAACTGCTGCCTAGCTACTCGGTCCCTAGTCTGTAACAGTGCATGGGATTCTTCCTTCCTAAGTGCCGGACTCTGCACTTGTCCTTGTTGAACCTCATCAGGTTTCTTTTGGCCCAATCGTCTAATTTGTCTAGGTCCGTCTGTATCCTATCCCTACCCTCCAGCGTATCTACCACTCCTCCCAGTTTAGTGTCATCTGCAAACTTGCTGAGAGTGCAGTCCACACCATCCTCCAGATCATTAATGAAGATATTGAACAAAACCGGCCCCAGGACCGACCCTTGGGGCATGCCGCTTGAAACCGGCTGCCAACTAGACATGGAGCCATTGATCACTACCTGTTGAGCCCGATGATCTAGCCAGCTTTCTATCCACCTTATAGTCCATTCACCCAACCCATACTTCTTTAACTTGCTGGCAAGAATACCGTGGGAGACCCGTATCAAAAGCTTTGCTAAAGTCAAGGAATAACAAATCCACTGCTTTCCCCTCATCCACAGACCCAGTTATCTCCTCATAGAAGGCAATTAGGTTAGTCAGGCATGACTTGCCCTTGGTGAATCCATGCTGACTGTTCCTGATCACTTTCCTCTCCTCTAAGTGCCTATAAAAACCTTTTGAATAAAATGTAGTTCAAAATACTGTTGAAATGATCATTCTATCATACTTCACTTACATCCTTATTTCTTGTCAGTGTTCAGCAATGTGCTTATGTTTAGATTTTGTTAATGTAAGTATTTCATACTCTTTATCACATTCTCTCGCTTTTCTGTCTTTCCCCTTCTCTACACATAGACTTCTCACCTTGATTGAAAGTCTTCCCCGCAGATGCTCATGTCTGTGTACTGACTCTGTTATCTTATTCGCTTAGCTTCTCAAATGGAGGCTTGGCAAATAGGTTAGCAAGAAACTCAGTAGAGCAACTTGTATTAAAATCCTTGTTTCTACATTTTACAACACTTTTTTTTTTCTCTTTCCTGGTTAGGAGAAAATGGGCTTCCTTGTGTCTTTGACCTATTAAGATGCACAGACTCAAAAGCTGAACAATATAGGGAGCAATTTTTCTGAGCCTTTGCTTTATCTCCCACATGAAATATAACAGAGTAACTGCAAGTGTTGCTGGAATAGTTAGGGATTTATAAAATGCCTTTTCCTGACTTGAACCTTGAACCAGTGGTATTAATTACCCATTAATGTTATCTTAGTTGACTAGATTTTCTGTTCCCTTAACTACGATAGATATAGAGGTTAGAATGGAGTATAACCTTTAAATGTGATCATCTGTTTGGGTTTGGTGGATAGTCCAGAACTAAGAACATAGGTTTAAATTAAGAGGAATTAAATGACAAAAGAGCTTGAAGGGATGTTGTAGTCGTGTTGGTCCCAGGGCTTTAGAGAGACGGGTTAGATAATATCTTTTATTGGACCAACATCTGTCAGTGAAAGACGAGCTTTAGAAAACGTCTACTATCACCAACAGAAGTTGGTCCAATAAAAGATATTACCTCATCCACTTTGTCTCTTGAACTTGAAGGGTGAGAGTGAACTTGAGAGTGTGAATAGATGGAATGGGCTTCCAGTTCAGGTAGCAGAGTCAAGTAGCAATATAGTAAAAGTTGTCTCACCACTTGAAATTTAAAGGATTAGATATTTTTATGTTTGTAACAGTAGTTCACAGCCCACTGGAAGAAAATTTCACTGATCAATTCCCTTCTGTATAGGAGTGGGTTTTTTTTTATTTCTCCAGAAGAAGTTAGTTTACAAATAGATGGTGAGATAAAAGTAGTTATCAAACAATTACAGACATGAATGGCCCATCATCTGCCTTCAATCCTAAGCAGTTATGCATGATGTTCTCTTTCTACATTAAAGAGTATGGGAGGATTCTGCCATCTGCTTCAGTCCATATGACAGCATATAGAGTTCATAAACAGCTCACAAGGAGCCAGCAGGGAGTTGCCCATAGTCCAGTCACTGCCGTAGCGGGGCCTTCCTATAAGCCCCAGCTCAGGGGGCATAGTGGGAGAGAGGAGGCCTGGATAGCACATGATAGTGTGGACATTCTGTGGTGCATCAGACTGTGGAATAGCCCAGAGTCAGCATTTGGGAGGCTGACGTAAATTAGAGCAACTCTTGGCTGCTCTTATTTAGGCTGGGAGATGCAGTAGCCCTTGGAGTAGCCCAGAATCCTGAGTACAAAGGTGGCTTAAAGCTACCTTTCTGGGCTGAGCTGGGGAAGGTAAAGAATCTCAAACTATAGTTTAGTTTCAAAAAGATGAGGGAAGATGACTGTTGCATCCCCTTGTCAATGTTCCCTTAAATTCTGAAGGATACTATATGATATCTTGACTAGTTTGCCTGGGAAACCTCTGGTAATTGCTTAACTGTTTAAAAATGGGTCACAGCTGAGAAATTATGCCTCGGTGTTTGTAATATGTTTTCTTCCAGCATGATTCATATGTTTGTTGATATCTTATATTGTCTAATGCTTAATTTCCTTATGATTATTTTAGACCCAGAAGCAGCAAGGTCAGGCAATTCCAAAATCACTACTACACTGGGACTAGTGGTCCATGCTGCAGGTAGGCTGAATAACTGTAAGATCTGTAAGGGGCAATCTTCTGTCACTGTCATTTTTCCTGTCTAACTTAAATAAACCTTTTGAATTTTAAATTGCAATAATTATTGTATATTCACCAAAAAAGTTAGCACTGTGGGGATTTTTTATGTATTTAGAAGCACATTTTCCATCTTTTCCTAAGTAAGCTAACTGAACATTGTGTAAAAATGGTTTGAAAAAATCCACACGGACTGGGATATATGTCTAGATATGATTCAGATGAAAAGGATTTAGGGAGGTTTTTAGAAATCTTAATCACAGTAAACCTGATTTTTAATTTTGTAGGAGAGAAACTACTCTAGATGCTAAGAAACAGCATAGAGAATTTTTAAAATGTATAAATAGTTGAGGGGTAAGTGTTAGCAATACAAAATAACACTTCATCCAAAATTTTTAAGGGGCAGGGGACACCAATTTGTCTATTATAACTGCAGCTGTAACAGTATTATAGTATGTTTGGTCAGTCATTTAGGATCTGGTGAGTCCCTTTTTGATGTATTTAGTAAATTACTTTTACTGTAAAATGAAGGCTATTTTGAAAGCCTTGGATTTTTTGCATCTTCTGTTTCATTTTAAAACAAAAGCCGAGTGATTGGCTTGATTAAATCCTAATATGAAAATAGTATTCTGCCTCCCGAAAATGTTCCTGGGAGTCTTAATTAGATACAATATTTTTCTTCATTTCTTTTCCTGAAGACTTGTGCATTGTTAACCATCTGCTGCTCCAACTCCAGTGGTGGCTGCTGATCAGTGATGGATGAAACAATACATACAAATATTTGTTATGTTATACATGTGGGGTTGAAATCTTTGTAATGAATTATTTATTCACTTATTTGGATTTCAATAGTGCACAACGGGTTAGGCACTGTAAACATATTTAATAAAAAAGATACTTCTTGTTCCAGGGATTTTTACCACTTAAATGCAAGTTAGATTTAGCAATTTGTTTATATTGAACTCATCTTCAATATGCCCACTAATCCATCTCCGCTGGGACCACTTCTAAAATTCCAAACCTCTGAGAAACTTTCATAGAGCAGTCACTTTGGGGGAAGTGGGAAGAAAGGTGGAATTTTGTGGGGAGGAAATCCATATTTGGTGGAGGGGAATGACTTGCATGCAGGATGGGCAGTATTCAGTGCTGGACCCATGACTGGTTCTAGGTCCAATATCTTGCAGGCCACTGGGATTAGAAAATGGTGCATTTAACCACTGGAAATGTAGGTATGTTCTCATACAACAAACACTCCTTGCCAATGAAATGGCAACACTTAATTCTACTCCTGGTAGGTTGGAAGATATTGGTCGTCATCATACATTTATATATATGTATATAAAAAGCTACTTAAGTAATTTTTAGAAGTTTCTAAAATGTATTGGTTAATACTTTTCCCCCTGTCTTTCCAAGACCTTTACAGTTTGGATTCATGGTCTTAAGATAATTAACTTTTACAGATGGGAGAGGGGGATGTTGTGAAAAATAGTATCAATTTTAAATTTCTCTAAAACTTCTTTAAAGCAGTTTTTCCTCTAAAAATATGTTCTATAAACAAAATATTTGTGTGTCATACAGTGTTAAGGTTTTGATTCACAGTCATTTGGGATGATCTGTTTAACTCATTCATTTACTTTATTGTTTATACATAATTTGTCTAGCTCAAACTCTCATGAAGTAATCCTCTACACTTCTCTCTGTGTGTGTGTGTGTGTGTGTGTGTGTGTAATATAAATGTATGCATATACACAAATGTTTTTGTTGATAAAAGGCACTGTGTAAATGTACGTCATGAAACAGATTTTAACCAAAAAATGTTGTTTTGTTAATGCATGTGTTTTATATAAAAAGAGAGAATTTTTTTATGAACAGCCAATTAACTGATTTGTGTGTTTTTCTTTTGATTTTTTTCACAGTAAAACAGTGTTTATGTAATATTTAGGCATTTCACAATTCCAAAAGTAATAACTAGAATTCTTTGTAAATTTGTAAAGATTAAAACTGATTTTCAGCTTTAAGTTTAGATAGGAAACACATTCCATAACTTTTGAAATTAGTTACTAAATCTCTGTTCCCTGAATTATTCCAGTTTTATATTAGGACATACCAAAGACTGAGCAGACTCTGTGTGAAATCCTTGTGCTATTGAAGTCCGTGGCAAAACTCCCCTTGACTTCACTAGGGCTAGGATTTTGCCCTCAAACCTCAAAGTGGCTCAGGAAAGGAAGGGGGAAGCAAGTCAGAGAGCAGTTGGGTCAGTATTAAGGGTTTTGTAAGTAAGGGAAATTATTTTAAAGCAATATACAATTTTATATTGGTAGCCAATGGAAAAATAAATAAACCTTGTGGTGTGTATGAATAATCGGTGAACTCTTATGCGCTCTTTTGGCTTTCTACCCATTAAGCTGATGGTGTTGCATTGGGTGCAGCAGCTTCCACTTCTCAGACCAGTGTCCAGTTAATAGTATTTGTTGCAATTATGTTACACAAGGTAAGTCCAGATCATAAATTCATACTTTTTTTTTTAAGACAAGTCAGTTTCTACTGCATATAGGAGGAGTTAATTATTTGGGTTTCTTGCTTGAGTTAACCTCAGTATGTGGAGCTGCAGTGAAGCGATCAGGTGGTAATACAAAAATAAGGGATTGGAGAACACAAGTATAATATTGGGTGGTTATGGGTATCAAAGGAAGCTATATCCAGTCAGTTTGGGTGTGGGAGGATGCATTTCAGCTGTTCATTGACAAACCCAACCCCCTGCTGCCCAAACAACTGACGATGACCTACAAAAATGGGGGAGAGAGAGAAAAGAGAACAGTATATTCATTGGAGGAAATGTAGCAGTCACACTGCTATAGTAGCAGCTGCGCTGCTGCAGCATGTCTGGTGAAGATGCTCTATGCTGACGGGAGAGTGCTCTCCTGTTGGCATAATTACTCCACCTTAACGAGACGTGGAAGCTGTCTCAGCCAGAGAGCATCTCCCGCCAACAACATAGCGCAGTGTGGACACCGCTTTAAGTCAATGTAACTTGCATGGCTTTTTCACACCCCTGAGCGACCTAAATTACATTGACTTAAGCGGTAGTGTAGACCAGCCCCTAGGGATACTTGAAGAAGCCCTGGGGATATGGCAAGGGGCACTTACGTATGTTATGCTAAAGTATGGAAAACTGTTTCCTCCTGCTAGGATTCATTTCTATATGTATGTTTGGTTCTCAGCACTGTGGGAACAATATATACATATTATTACTCCTGGGGAAATTCTGTGCCAAAAAGTAAAAAATTCTGTGCGCAATATTTTAAAATGCTGCATATTTTATTTGTCAAAATATCATATTATCATCATACTATTTTCAATTATTTTGGTAATTTATTTCATAATACCTGTCAGCAAGTGTGTCTGTAACAATACAGGCAACAAAAAAGATCCAGGAAATGTTTTTTGTCAAATAGATTCCTTACTAGGTGTATTAGCACATCAATATGGCTCCACAGAACAGACAACAATAATATTTCCATGTATGTCAAGCACAGAAGACTTTAAGGGTATGTTACACAGCAAAGAAAAACCCACGGCTGGCCCATGCCAGCCAACTCAGGCTCACGGAGCTCAGGTTTGGGGGCTGTTTAATTGCTGTGCAGACTTTTCTGGGCTCAGACTAGAGCCAGAGCTCTGGGACCCTTCCATTGGGTTGCCAGGTTCATAGATTCTAGGACTGGAAGGGACCTCAAGAGGTCATCGAGTCCAGTCCCCTGCCTGCATGGCTGGACCAAATCTGTCTAGACCATCCCTCAGACCAGAACACCCTCTCGAAAAGGGCAGCTTCAGTCAGTGCCGCTGACCAGGCCATTAAAAGTCTGGTTGGTGGTGCAGCAGGGCAGGCAGGCTCTCTGCCTGGCTCCCAGGAATAGGCTGGCATGTCTGTCCAGCTCCTAGGCAAAGGGGCGGCCATGGGGGCTCCGTGTGCAGCCCCCGCCCTGAGCGCCAGCTCGCAGCTCCCATTGGCCAGGAACTGCGGCTAATGGGAGGTGCGGGGGCGGTGCCTACGGGCAGGGGCAGCGCGCGGAGCCCCCTGGCCCCTCCACCTAGGAGCTGGAGGGACATGCTGGCCACTTCCTGGGAGCCACCTGAGGTCAGTGCCGCCCAGAGCCTGCATGCCAAAACCCCTCCTGCATTCCGAATCCCTTGGCCCCAGCCTGAAGCCCCCTCCCACACCCAAACTCCCTCCCAGAGCCCGCACCCTACCTTCCTGCTCCAGCCCGGAGCCTCCTCCCGCACACTGAACCCCTCATTTCTGGCCTCACCCAGGAAACCCATACCCCCTCCCACACTTCAACTCCCTGCCTCGGCCCGGAGCCCCCTCCCACACTCCAAATCCCTCATCCCTGGCCCCACCCCAGAGCCTGCACCCCCAGCCGGAGCCCTCACCACCCCAGCCTGGTGAAAATGAGTGAGTGAGCGAGGGTGGGGGAGAGCAAGCGACGGGGGAGGGGGGATAGAGTGAGTGGGGGGATGACCTCAGAGAAGGGGCAGGGCCTTGGGGCAGAGAGCGGGGCAAGGGGTTCGGTTTTCTGCAAATAGAAAGTTGGCAACCCTACCCTCCCACCCTGCAGGGTCCTAGAGCCCGGGCTCCAACTCCAGCCCAGAAGTCTACACAACAATGGAACAGCCCATCACGCCCAAGACCTGTGAGCCCAAGTTGGTTGGCATGGACCAGCGCCTGGTTTTTCTTTGCTGTGTAAACATACCCTAAAGGGCAGTACATCCCTAGGAGTGAAGTTAGGCCATGATTTGGCACAGCACTTAAATATGTCCATAAAGTTCAGCGCCTGAGTATCCCCAGTGAAACTAATGCTTTGCCAGATTGGGGCCTTAGTGAGTGGCATGGTTAAGGAGTACTCAGCATGTCACCATATAGTCACTGGACTAGAATTAAAATTGTTGCAGACAATAGATTAGAAGGGCAATGGGTGTGAAGGCTCCAGCATGGCAGTGGCGAGCGCAGGCTACTGGCTACATGGAGGTGGGGGATCCTCCTGCCCCCACCCCCTCCCCGGGACACGGATGCAGTGGTAAGGCTGCACTCCACCCTGACACAGCACAAGGGCTGGGTCTGCCACAGAAACACCATGCAGCACTTGCCCCTCCATGCCGGCACACCGTGATAGTGAGCGAGAGGGACAGAGTCTCACTCGCACACATGCCCAGCGCTGCTGCCTGATCTGGGTGTAGGGGAAGCAGGCTCTGTCCGGCAGGATCTAAGTATGGAGGGGCTTAATGTGGGGGGGATCTAGGTGTGAGGTGAGAGCGTTCTGTGTGGGACAGTCTGGGTGCAGGCAGCTCAGTCGGGGATCCAGGTGTGTGGGGGGATCTGGATTCACAGGGACTCCTTGGGGGGATTCCGGGTGCAGGGGGAATTGGACTCTGCGGGGGCGTCCAGGTGAAGGTGGTTGGGGCTCAGTAGGGGTGGTCTGGGTGTCGTGGGGATAGGGCATGGCCGGGAGGTCTGGGTGCATGGTGGGGGTCCAGGTGTAGGTAGTTGGGGCTTAGTGGGGTGTGGGTCTGGGTGCTGGGGACTTGGCGGGATGGTTCAGGTGCAGGGGGGGTGGGGCTTGTCAGGGTAGGGGCTTGAGTGCGGGGAGCTCAGGGGTGGTATAGGTGCAGGTGTGGGGGTCAGGATGCAGAGGGGTGGGAGAGCATCTGGGGTTGAGTGGATGGGGGCAACTACCTGTACAGTGACCCCCCCCCCCCCCATGACTGGGGAGCCATGGAGGCAGGAAGTGTGTGTGTGTAGCCGTCTGCAGCTTGGGGTGGTTCTTGATGGTGGGCTGACCCATCCCCGGCCACTCCATGCAGGGGAAGAGGAAATCCGGCTAGGCTGCGGGGGGACATAAAAGGGACTATCAACTGGAGCCCAGCACAGGGTAGGAGCCACCGGCCAGGGCATCCCCCGCTCTCCCCATTTCCGGCTCTGGGCACACCATGATGGCAAACAGGAGGGACAGAGTCTTGCATGCACGCCCAGCCTCGCCCCCCATGGCAGTGATTTATGTCTCCCCCGGCTGTCCTGATGCCCAAATCAGACACACCTGCTCGGGACTGCTGCCTGGAAGGGGCGCATGAATCAATTATTCTGCGGGGGACATTAATTCTGTGCAGAATTCTCCCAGGAGTAACATATTAAGAGGTCTGCAGTCATTTTTCATCATTAAAGGGTAATGCTGAGGTTGATAGGGTTACAGCATCGCAGACATGCGAAGCAAAATTGAATTCAGTTCCTTACACTGTAATAAGTGTTTTGATATGTCTTCTGCAATAAAGAAGAAACACCAGACACCAAAGTTGGGGCAATAGCCTTTCAGTTTCCCTTTAATACTAAATTAAACATGTATTTGTTCAGACCTTATTTGTACATGGTATGGAAAAGATTTATTGGATCTAGTTTTCAAATACCTCAAGCACACAGTTGCACACCTAATTTGTATGTGCAGTTATTGCAACCTACTGCCATTCACAGTAATTAGTCATGCAGTTTGTTCAGACCTTTTGTCTGTGTAGATGCATACCTAAAGTGTTTGAAAAATCAGGTCTGCTGTGTTTTCACTTGTATAATAAGTGATATACATGGTAACCATGTTCTGGGATGACAACACTGTGGCCAAAGGCCACGGTGTTTTATAGGTCAGGATCTGGTTATTACCAAGTAAAGGGGAAGTGAACACTTATTATTCTGACATTTTAAATTATTAACAATATTTTAAAAGTGTACAGTAAATATTTTTTAAATGAAAGAAGAAAACTTTTTAAAAGTGGGTTGTCCATGAAATGCTGAAAGAATTTTTAAATTGAATTTTTTTCTCTTCCTTATCCCTTCCACAATTACTGCTACTTCCTCTCCCCCCCCCCCCCCACCCACACACACATCTTCTTTCCCCACCTGTATTTCCCTTCCTAAAGATCAGCAAGCTTCTCCTGCAGGCAGGCAGCTGCAATATATTTTAATTTACATTGTGTTTCAAAACTAAATTGGGAAGGGAAGATTGGGATTGTCCCGATGTAATCACGAATCTGATAGTTCTTGTGGCTTGTACGGAAGGGACTGGATTGATGGGAGAGGGGAAGAAGTGTCTGGTCTTGCTTCCACTGAAGTCAGTAGCAAAACTCTCATTGATTTTAGTTGGATCAGAATTGGGCCTGAAGGAGGGAAATAAATCAAAAAGATTGTTAATCTTTTACTGACAGTTTGACAGCCCCTTTTTCTTTATTTTGATGGCATTTTTTCTTCTTTCATGTAAATGCTGGAATTTTTCCTCCCTTAGTTGAAGAAAAGTCACTTAGGAGGCATATTTGTTTCTTGCAGGTAGCCTAAAAATTCTGATTACAAAAGTTGATCAGAACAAATTTTGATTACCAAAGCGAGTCAGAACAAAAGGGTTATAGTTACCAATCAAATCAGTACAGTAATGAAAATCCTGGCATTCAATAATAGTACGTGGAGTCATATGCTGTATTGTTGTTATGAAATAACCATCCAGTGATTATGGAAATAAGATAACCAGAACCAAAAAGAATGCAGAGAGTGGCATAACTGTTCTAGGTCAGTAACTGTAGAGCATCCCTGCACTCTGGTTGGGAATATTCCACTTCAATATAGTTAGTAGGAATAATACATATTCACCAAAAAATTTTTTTGCCTTTGGACATCTTAAATTACAGGGAATCCTAGCCAAGCTGATATTGCATTGACTATTGTTCTTTTACAGGCACCAGCTGCCTTTGGCCTGGTTTCCTTTCTAATGCATGCTGGGCTGGAACGGAATCGAATCAGAAAGCACTTGCTGGTCTTTGCATTGGCAGCACCTGTTTTGTCAATGGTGACATACTTGGGGCTAAGCAAGGTAAATGTTTGGGATTTAATTTTGCCAGGAGCTTAGCAATTGGGCTTGAGGGGCATGGAACTCCTTACTGGGCTTGTAGAACTCCAAACTGCTTCACCCACCGCCAATACATTTTTCCATACTATCCGCTGTAGCTGGGACCTTCCCGCCATGTAGTTGCAAGTTTATGAACAAAATTCTCAAAAAAGGAAGCTTCTGTTTGTTTTAACTAAACAAATAATACTTTTCCACAATTCTGTGGCAGTTGAATCTGCCAGACAATTGTGCTGGAGAATCTAAGCTTTCATTTTAAGAAGCTAAGTTGCCCTGTAAGTTTCACTTTAAGAAACTAACCTGACAAATACAAATGGATGCTTTGTTGACCTCCTGAGTCTGCAAGCTGAAACAGTAGTTCTGACATGTGGGGATGTGTCTCCGTTCTCCTTGAAGTGGTTTTACCTCTGAAACATGATGATAATTTAAATCTTAACATTAACGGTTACAGTGCTGATAATTTTAGTGGAAATATTTAGTTGTTGTGCGTATCCATCTGTACTGGATTCAGTGGAAGATATTGGGGCAGTGGTGTGGCTATCACTGTTAAGGGGTCGGGAGTTCAAGCCCCAGCTCCTTGAGGGACAAACTGTTACCTCAGTCTCTAGGAAGAGGGAAAGAAGAGATCCATCCCCTCCTTGGTGCCCAAAGGCTCAAACAGTTCCTGGGAGCTCAAACTCAAGTCCTCTCCCCAGGGCCGTCTCTGGCTTTTTTGCCACCCTAGGCAAAAAAGCCACCCGCAGCCGTCCTTCCCCCCCC